CCCCAAAACCCCAAAACCCCAAAACCCCAAAACCCCGAATGAGCATCCAAAGGTTGTATTTATAACATTTCAAGTATTTGAGAATTATAATCACTCAACGCTGACTGGAGGAGTTAGTTCTTCAACCACAATTTTGACCAAGTCATCTGAGTTTTCAAAGAAAACGTGGTGGTCAGCATCTGGGATCACATGTACGTTGTGACCTTCAGTGGAGAGTACCTCGCTCACTTTAGGCCCGTTCATATTCATGTCCAACCAATCAGCACCCCCATAGATAAAACAAGTTTCAATACCTTTGGCTTTAAAGCCATCGGGTGAGTTGATGCATTCAATTAGTGGGTACTTGGGGATGAAATTTCTAGTGAATAATATGTGAATGGCTCTCTCAGCACTTGCTGGTTTGAGAGTGACCTGATATAAGTGACCATATAGCGCTTCAAATTCCTCTTTTGGAAGATTCCCAGTTCTCCTTTTCATACCTTTCTTTAAAAATATTTTGGAAGCTCTACCTATTACTCTCAAAGGGGAAAATGGAGCCATGGTTTTGATAAACTTTGGCATATGCTTTTGAATCTTAAAAACTGCTCTTTTTCTGTAACTGAGTTGTTTATAAAAGTTATTGAGTCCTTCATCAATATCCTCAGGAATATAGTCTACTCCTAGAGAGGACAAAAATATAACTTTTTGAATATGCTCACTAAACCTCAGAGCATACCTTCCCATAATGTATCCTCCAAAGCTATGGCACAGGATGTTGAAGGAATCAAGTTTCATCTGCTCTCTCCAACTCTCAATAGACAGAAGGAAAAAATCTTCCGCTTCTTCATAAGTTTTACATGTAAACCTGGGTCTGGAAGATCTTCCTATATATAACAACCAAATCTTACCAAATCCTAATAAGTCGATGCAAAAAATATGGAAGCTTTCACTTAGTTTTTCCCATGTTTGATAGAAAAACATTGAGCAAGCTCCGAAGCCATGGACCATTAGCAGAGTGGGCTTGCCTTCATCCTTGCTTCCTATTTCATAGGTCCAGATCACCTAAAATGATAAGCAAAAGACACACGTTCTTTTCGTCGATCAGGTTTATACCGGGATTATCTTCACAATCCTTCATGTAATCCTTCTTGCCAAAATTAATCTCAACGGGATAGCTCTGGAATAAATCAAGGTTCAGGCCTGACAATTCTACCTAGAGAGTTTAGTAGTTATCGTACGATAGTATTCTCAGTGGTCTGGACTCGATGCGGGCTGATCCCTTTCCAACAACTATGCATCTAAAATAAAATTTACCTTGTTTGTTCCATGATTATTATAGTAATTTTTATTAGCTATTTTTGATATTTTGGGGTTTTGGGGTTTTGGGGTTTTGGGGTTTTGGGG